CAAGTACTTGGAAATTAGGGGTTGTGCTCATCAACTTCCCACAGCCCAGCACACCTGGACACAAGCAGGCCTTGATGAGCTGGCTGTGCTGGGGCTCTGCTGTCTTTAACAACATGATCTTCTTTTCTCTACTGGTCTAGGAAGGGTTGACTCATGGTTCAAAAACTGGCAGTGGCAACAGGATGTTTTGAACTTTATTACTGGAGGAAATCCAGTATTTATGGGAGGGACACTTTTGGTTTGCCTTTTAGTTTTACAGGCTAAGGTTTCTGCATATCTCAGTAGAATGACTGCAGTCCCTTGGTGATCCAGACAAGGTCCCAAGCAAGTGACACAGGTCACTTGTAAGCTAGGTAAGTCAGCAAGGTTGAGGGGCTTCAGCAAACTAGAATACAACATGAATGAAAACAGCTCACATCTACTGAGCGCTCACCATATGCTAGGTACCACCCAACATGTCGAGGTGTATCAGCTCACTGATCACAGTGACAAGAGTCAGCCGCCACAGGTGGGATGCAACTAGCACGTGAGTGTCCCTGTAGGCTCAGGAAGGCAACTGGCGAGTCTCTCTCCATGCCCTTATCCTCTCTCCATGTGCAGCCTCTCATTGTCAGCACTTAGCTATGCCTTACGTCCAAGCATATCTACCTTTTCTACCCATTACTAAACTGTGGGAAGTAAGGGCTGTGTTGACACCTGCCAGGGATTCTGTAATGTTCAAACAGAGGAGCTCAGTAACTATTCTTTTGAACTGAATGAAGATCTTGGGAGATCAAATCAGTGTATCTAGACAAAAACTGTAGAGATTTTAACTATATTTAAGTTTCACTTTAAACCCTAAAGAAGTTACTTACATTTAAATTGGTGCAGGTTATGCTCTCTGGATTCATGATTTGAGAAAATATAGATGCAGCTTTGGCTGCTTCATTCTAGAATGAAAAAAAAAAAGTCATAACTCAAATCACATGAACATCAACCAGCTATCATAAAGGTCATTTAGAGAAGGCAGGATATTCTTATTCACAGGGCCCCAGGCTTCTGAAATTGACAAAGAAATGTTTAAAAATAAACATTCCATAGAATGCTCCTAATATCCAGTGGCATATTATCCCGCTTTAACAACCTGTCCAACTCCAGTATTTGAGAGGAAATCATTCAGTGGGCATTTCCCTTTATCACAGGAAATGACAAAGATAAACGCAAATCTCATCTCTGCCATCACTGGAACAGAGAAGCCCCAAAGCACAGGAGATGAAAGCACTGACGGAGCGGAGTTGGAGCCCAGGTAGGTTCAGAGAAGGACAGTAGTGTGAGTCTCAGAAAAAGTCCACCAATAATTCTCAGGGTTCTCAGCAGGCCAACCTCAGGCACAAAACCTAAATCCTAGCTTACAGTAAGGGGCAGAGATTAGGATTAGCAAGAGAAACTGCTGAATTTTTGTGTGGCAGAATAGACACTAGACAAAGGTTTCCAGAGGTGAGCCACATTTGCAGGAAGCAGTGTGTCCCTATGGTACTACTGAATAAGAAACTGTCCTCTGAAAACCACTTCAGCACCTGTTCTCCCTGGCAAGGAAGCAATAAATCTGTGTATATTTATATGCAAAACTCTGCAAATCACAGTTGTTTTATAAGGAGGGAATCTGCTAATTTAGACCAAAGCTCTGTAGCGTTCTCTCATATGGATCTCCTATAAGTGGCTAAGAGGAATTAACATTTTTCAATATATATATATTTTTTTTTTTTTTTGTCTTTTTGAGTCAGGGTTTCACTATTCAGCTCAAGCTGGGCTTTTAACAGACTGTAGCTCAGGCTGGCCTCGAACTCACAGCTATCCTCGGCCTTGTTAGTGCTGGGACCACAAGCGTGTGCCACCACACCTAGCAAATTAACATTTTTGAAAGATGAATAATCAAATAAGAAATAGCACATGAATGCCACAGAAACAATAAAAGAAAAAAAAATAACTGGAAAGAAACCCAATAAAACAAAAATAAGAAAATATACAGTAAATGAGGAAAACCCAACTTAAAAAAAGAAGATAGAAATGAGAGAAGAGAAGTGTCAGGAAGAAAATCACACAGGCCTCTAATTTATCCAAAGTAATATCCCAAATTAGAAGACAGAAGATCAATACCTTTAAAAAAAATCCTCCACAGAAGTATCATCTCAAAATTATATTATCTATAATTTTAAGATCTCCAATATCATCTTGTTCAAGTACAAAATCAAAAGACAAACAGAATAACTTTAACAAAAACTCAAGGAATACTGTTGCTCTGGGGAATTTATCAGACAATTCTCCAGGGATGATTAGAAAACAGCAGTAAACAACAGGCCTGTTGGGCCAGGGATAGCTCAGCGGCATAAGCACCTGTCTGACAAGTACAAGGTCCTGAGTTAGAGCCCTGGGACAAAAAAAAGGGGGGGGAGGGGCCTGTTTATTCACAAAGGATAAAAAATGAATACAGGCAATATGGTTAGAGAAGAGTGTAAATATTATACAACTAAATGAGGAAGAGACAGTCCAACTAACCAAAAGGAAGAAAATGAAATAAGAATATTTTTTAAAAAAAGATAAAGTATGCTAATTTCATCATCTTTATTACTTGTATGTCAAAGAAAAATAATTTATAGCTATTAACTATTTTTAAGGGAAAAGCAAATACTATGAGAAATACTGTAGGTGGTAAAGGCAGAAAATCAGGAGAAAATACACATATTACTCCATTGCTTAGCATCAGGAAATGATAAGTGCTGTCTAAGGAAAAGGCATGCCCAACCTGTGCTCCAGCTGGCCTGGGCTGCAGTGTGCAGAACTGTCTTGAGCCACATATAAAATACAGGATACAGTTAACATACACAAGTAATAAAACTTCCTCTTTTAAATAAAACTGTTCTTCATTGTCACATAGGCATGTCCAATCCTCCAGCCATAGGATGGACAGGTCTGAAAGCTAAATCAAGTTTCAGTTTTAAAGCAATCACTAGGGCAAAAGCAGAAAACACACTCATGATATATTTTTCAAGTTATAAAAAGAAAAAGCATTACATAAAATGAGACAGGTCATACACATCATATTAACATAAGTGGGTTATATTAAAAAAAAAAAACTAGCATAAAGAAAATCTGAAACTGATATATGTAAGAGAATGACCTAAAACAAAATAATTCAAAAGATTAGGAATTAAAAAAAAAAAAAAAACACAAAAAGATTGAGAATAAAAGGCTAGGGAGACATACCCAGAAGACAAATGTAAACCTAATCAAAACAAAGAGAAACAAAAACAAAGGTGGAGCTATCAATATTACCCAAGGTTGAGTTCAGGGCAAAAGCACTAAACACAACCAAGAAAAGTACTCTCACTAAACTCAGAGATTTACAAAGATGATATAATGATGATGACTTATCAGCGCTCAAACAGTATAACCTATGCACACACAAAGGAAGAACTTTAAGAGCTACAAAAAGAAACGCAAACACACCTTAGAAAAGACTAATTCATCTCACTCAGCTCTTGACAGATTAAGAGGACACATTAATTCTCTGGGACACAGAAGGAAGCTCAGGAAGTTAGAAAAATAACCACAGTCCAGTAGATGCCTGCTAAGTGTGTATCCTATTAAGCCTTTGTCCTTTCGGTGACTTTTCCCAGCAGTATATGAACATGGACCACTCTGATAATTTTATTTGTAATTAGTCACAAAGAAGTGTTTTCCAGCCAAATAAATAACTTAAGGAGGTCAGTATTTTTCTACTGCAACATTTTTTACTACACAGTAAACATGTACAGTATTTCATACTGTTTTAGGCCTTTAAATAGGACATCAAAAAGCAGGAGCCCTTTAAGGGACTGTACCAGGGTTCCAGCTCTTTGTCCTTTATGAAGGTGTGGCCTCAGAGAGGTGCCTCTCTCTCTCTCTCTCTCTCTCTCTCTCTCTCTCTCTCTCTCTCTGGGCTCACTGCCAGAGAATAATTCAAGTTACAGGCCAGAGAATAATTCAAGTTACAGGTCTGTCCATGAAACTTCTTTCTAATAATGGGCTGCTCCCAGAGCTATCATGCATACGAAGTGAGTTCAGTTTTAGAAGTACAAAAACTGCTCTCTGAGAATTTGCTCAGAAAACTGATTATTTGCAATTTTTACTTTAATTACTTAAGAAATTTCTCTCAAGGGTGCTGCTTCCCTCTCTGATTCTTTGCAGGATCTGGGCCAACCCAGTCTAAATAGAAATGTATGTTAGGTCCTCAACTGTAAATAAAAACATTCTCTGCACACACAGGTAGAGATGTAGGTTGCTAGGGTAACAAAGACACTGCTTTCTTTGGGGACTTTCCCTTTTTGATACACTCAAAAGCAAGAATGTAGCAAATGCCTGCCTGCTCCCAATTCACTTCCATGCACCCCAAAGCTTTACCTGATTCAGCGCTAATGCCACAGCAAAACAGCATGCTCTCCTGGAAAGAATGTCTCCTTTGATTAGGGCATCTTCTCTTAAGGTAGTACAGATTTTTAAAGATTCTGGGCTGTTCTGTGAGAAAACAAGATTGTCCAATAAATGTCTTGAACTTTAGTTCAATTAAATGATGAATAGTGCCATTTTAGATTTCTTCTGTAAGAATTTCTCAGAACCTACCTTAAATCACTTCAAAAATTAAGCCTCATCTCAAGACTATTTCTCAGGGACCACGTTATCTAACAACCCAGTCTAAAATAGGTGTTATTTTAAAGCTATTTGTCAGTTTTCTGACATGGGACAGTTTTCACATGCAAACACTCTGGTCTCTTTGGAGCTGGGCAGACTAGTTTCTATATACAGATTGTGGAATGTAAGACTAATCTGAACATAAATTATGAAAGAATGCCATGAAAAGAAAACAAATAAGGCAAAAAGACAGTGAAAATCAAACAAAGCCCCTTCCTGTGTAGCCCGCAGGGGGATGACCAGTGCCAACTGTGCCTCCATGTCTATCATGTCTTCCAGTCTGCATCTGATGAGGGCATCACAGACGAGGGCAAAGTAGCCCTGGAGTTTGCTAGAAAAGGACGCTGTGATCTTAGGAAAGGAGCAAAACAGATCTAGTGGATTCCAGTGTACAAGCACACAGCTTGAAGCTGACATACTATCTCTTGTTCTCACCACCTACACTGTAATCAGCAGAGATGGGTAGAAGATGTTAAATTGCTTTTACCATGAAAAAACTGTCAGACAAGGCTAACTTGAGTTTTCTAAAAATGAATACATTTAAAATTGAAATATTTGCACCAGATGGAAACAGACTGGAAAGGAATTAAATTTGTAGAGAAAGAGAAAAAAAAAATATCCAGCACTATCCACATACCATGAAAGTTAGTGGGAAAGTCTTACCAGCTTGTAGCAAATTGCAAAAGCAAGGACATAGCTATCGTGGTTGAACCTCACATCCTGGTTTTTCATCTCTATCAACACTTCCAGTGCACCTGCCAAAGGGAGGAGAGGACCAGCAATGTCCAACACATTACAGCAAGACTAGGTTCCCAGAGCCTAACCTCTTCAGCACTATCTACTAAAAAAAGATTTCTCAAAGTCACTAGCAATTAACTAAGTACTAAAATAAATTCCCAGGTTGCACAGGAAGAACAAACATGGTATTTTAAAACCTGCTCTAATGTCAGTAGAAGAAAGGTCTGAGGTTTTACTTTAAGACATGTTGTGCAAGGCCACGTGTTCAAATTTAAAGAGTAGGGTCTCTTACACACCACCAAAGGCAGTAAAATTTTTCATCAACCGTAAACTATTGTACTTACTTTCATACTTGCCCTTGATGAATAACATGTCCATCAAGATATTGAACGACGTGGAGTCTGAGAAGAACCCTTGTAGATGCTAATGAAAACATAATACAATTTAGTTAAAAGTTAAAGCTTGTAGCTCAGCAGCCAAGTCTTATTTTGCTGCACACTTTATTTACTTGGTCTCCTGAATCCTCCAATAAATAATCTAAGAACTTATTTTTGAAAAAAAGTTAAATTCTGTCTGCTGTCTTGACTGCCTTTCAGAATAGGCACAGTAAAAAAAGCAAGAGATGTCACAGTTTCATAAATACAGAGAAGAACTCCTGTATGAAATGTGGCTCTGTAATGCTCAGGAGAAAAGAAACAAGACACTTAATGCTGGCAGGACGGTCCTCAAACCTGGGCAGCAACTATTAGCATGAAAGGCAGCCATAAAAATAGTAGAGCACTAAGGCTGGGTTGTCTCACACAACTGTGGCCCTCTTTTCCCAGAATACAGAACCCCGTTGCTCTTTGAAAATAACTTACTTAAAATAGTAGCTCTCAGTATTTTTTCAGTTTTACTGTAATTGGCAAAATAAATTACATATATTCATTGTGTATATGTGGCTTTAAAATAGGTAAACATTGTGAGGTGGCTTGATTGAGCTAAAGAACAGGCAAATCACTTACATTTTTGGTGGTGAGAACATTAAAAATCTTTCTCTGCAAAATTTAATACCATACATTCTTTATTAACTACAGATATTTACAATCAATCTGTTTCTTCTAACTGAAACTCTGTACATGTTACCTGGGCATCAACATCACTTCCTAGGATTCTGAAAGTCATGATAATGTGGCACATGATATTCAAATATTCCATTCAAAGCCCTGTTCACGCTTCTTTCTTTTTTTTCTTTTTTGGAATCGGGGATTGAACTCAGGCCCTTGTGCTTGCCAGGGAAGCACTTATTCTACTGAGCCATCTCCCTGGCCCCCTCACGTTTCTTTCTTGAGAGCCTACCATGCAAGCCCTGTTCTAGACACTAAAAATAAATAATAAACAGGACATACGCCACACCCTGAACTCCAGCTAGGTTTATAGTTGGTGGAACTTAACATTGGGCAGCATTTTTGTTTACACACTGACAATCTCCAGTGTCACTCAGGCAGGTGTCATTTCAACCAGTTGACTCTTTTTTCTTCTTCTTCTGTATTTTAGGGAAGGGTCTACAGGGTGTTCAGGGTCTCACTACTAAATCGGACTCGTAGTGATTCTCCTGTTTACAGCCTCCCAAGTGCTGAGTTTACAGATGCGCATCACCACACTCTTTTTTTTTTTTGCGGAACCAGGATTGAACTCAGGCCCTCCAGGCAAGCACTTATTTTACTAAGCCATCTCCGAGGCCCCACCATACCGTCTCGATTGCTGTCTCAGCGCACCCTGGGAGCAGGGTCAGCATGGCAGGCCTGGGGATCGAACCCCTGGCCCCTGTGCCTACTTGCAGGCACTTTAATCTGCTGAGCTATTTATCTGGCCCTCGACCAAATGACTCTTGTATTAAATAAATCTGACAAAAATTGTCATTTTTATATTTCCTATTACCTTACAAAAATTAACAAAAAATGCAATTTTTGGTCATCCTATAATTTAGATAATTAGACTGCTATGTGGTTAAATTCTGGAGAGGAAGGCAATGAGCAAGTGACTACAAGTGAAAAAGACCTTCCTGTGGGGCACTGCCAGGTCATGAAGAACAATACAGCAGTACAGAGAAGAGATGAGAGTATGTATAGGAAGGCTCTCCACGAAGAGTCCTTGGTTGATGCAAAAATAGGCCCAAGGCTACTTATTCTTAATCCAATTCATTCTAGTTTTCTGGACTACTATACATTTGGTTTTCTGTACTAAAATACATTTATATATGTATTTTCTCATATAAATACAGCTCAGGTGAATAGTTCCACCATGTACAGCACATTCTATACAACACAAAGATAAAAAAGACCTATTAGCTTTTGAGGTTTCTGAACATACTGAAATGTACAAGTGATCAGCCCCAGCCCTAAAATTTAATATTTCAAAGCATGCATGAATTTATAACGTTTACAGATTCTGGGTTCCTATCTGTGAAGTAGAAATAGTAATAGGCACATATCACCAGGGGTATTGTGGAAAATGAAATAAACATGTGAAGTGTTTAAGCAGAAGGCTGAGGCATAATAATTACAAAAATAAATTATTTCTTTTTTTTTTATGAAAAGAAAATCAGTATGTGAAAGCATTTTGAAAATAGATGAGCACTTTATAACATTCAGGACCCGAGCACTCACTCAGGCTTCCATGGAGTCAGCTCTCCTTTGGGCTTCTCCAGAAGTCTCCACCTTTTTTTGTTTGTTTGTTTTGTTTGTTTGTTTGGGGGAACTGGGGATTGAACTCAGGCCCTTGTGCTTGCCAGGGAAGCACTTATTCTACTGAGCCATCTCCCCAGCCCAAGCACTTTATAACAAACCTCTATCAAAAATAAAAATACAAAAAAAAAAAAAGAGCTCAAAGGTGAGGCATAGGAAAGCAACCAAGAAATGGCAGCCTGTCCTAAAGCATCCTTCTCTAAATGCTCTGAAGGAGGTGAGCATGCCAGCTCAGCACATATCCACAGCAGGCAGACATCATGCCACCAGAACTCCACCTGTCTATGCCTGCATACGGAGACCTATGCTTCTCACATGAACTGACTCCAAGGAATTTAAAAAATGCAAAGAACAGTTCATTCACTCAGCTTAGCAGCCTTTCTCTGAAAATCTAACTCAAAAATAACACTAAAAAATGTCTTTTCTAATATCATCAAAAACATGGCAGGAAGAAATCACATTGGAAGAAGGGATCAGAAAACAATAACCTGGTCTTTGATGAGATCCACTGCAGATTCCTCAAGATCCATCTCGTAACACAGCCTCATGAAAACTGGTCCAAATTTAAATTCCCCTAAAGTGAAATTTCTGTTTTCTGCATGGTACCTAGCAACAAAAGGATTCAATGAGCTAAAAGGTATGGCACAGCACAAACGACAAACACAGATCAAGGTATGCACGCTCCTGTATGTGGAAGACACAACAGAGAAAAGATACTTCCAACATGGAGGGACAGAAGTGGAGATCTGAATAAAACCAGAGGGTCAGAGGAACCCTGCAGTACAGAAACATAGAAGGCAGTCACATACACAAACAGGCCAACATGCCCTGTGGGATGAAAGCAGAAGAAGAAAAGCTTATGTTGTAGTCATTCTTTAAATTAAGTGGCAATAGCTGGGACCCGGTAAAAGCCTGTATTAGTGGTGAGGGTCCTCAGAAGGGACCCACCCCTGGAGAACAAGGAAAGTGTAAGGTCGGAGGGAGGGGGTGCTCTGTGCTCTTCCAGATGGGCTTCCTGCCCCTACAGGCCAGCAGACAACCAGCGACACACTCCAAAACTTGTTGCACTCTCTGCTTCACACTGTCCCTGGAAAGGCATATGTGAGCTATGATTACCTAGGCAAATTAAATTTCAAGATAGTGGCAGTTTATATGTGCTTGAGATTTGTATCAGTGCCAGTCTGCCAGTTGGAACTATAAGTCACTAGCACAGATTTACTTTGAATTACCAACCCTTTCTGCTATATATGCTAAGAGGGCAATTTGGTGACCAAAGTACCTTATGTTGCCATGTAAATCAGATTTTCATGATGTAAATAACTTTAAAATACTAGGGAGGAAAGTTCTGGCTTTACTAAAACAGAAGTGTTTGTTTAGAGTATTTTTTTCTCCTGCTGATAACTCAGCAAAGCTGAAGTGGCATCATGAGCAGGGTGTTCTATATACCTATATTGTCAGAAATGATGCATACTTGCTTTATAGGTGTGAATCCAGGTACAGAAATTACACATACACAAGTACCTGTTGCTTCATTACAACATGAGTTATATTAGTAAAAGAAAAGAGAATGCGGTAATTAACTTTTAGACTCTGCTTTCAAAGTGATTCAAATTTCAGCTTTTATTTCTACTATGTATAACCATAAGCAAATTTTAGCTTCTTCCTCTGTAAAATGGAGACAAAACAGAACTCAAAACAAGTTTCTGTGAGAAATAAGGTAAGGGCTGCAAGATAACAATATGTTAGTTCTTACAATATGAGCCATGCTTAGAAATATCTTTAAAATCTATAAATATATTTTGGTAAATAGCCTCGTGAGAAACTTGTAGTAGGATAAAATCAGATAGCAAAACAGAAGTTTTTCCAATCTAGTATTCACATTCAAAATTAAATTCATGACAATAAACATCAGAACCACTATAAAACAAAAAAAGAAAGCGACACACACGTAATCCCAGCTACGTGGAAGGATAAGGTAAAGGTTCATTGATCTGAGGCCAGCTCGGGCAACTTATGGAGAGACCTCATCTCAGGACACAATAAATGTGCTACAAAGTCATAGAGATAATCACCTCGTGACAAGAAGTAATCAAGGAAAAGAATGTAAAATCCCTTATAAACCAAATGAAAGCATTTGTTCAACATTATGAGGGGACTATGATGCCCCCCACTTGTGGCTCACTGAAAAGCTCCAGTTCCAGCCCGTGACCCCATCCTATTCTTTCCTATCCCAGCCTGCCCCAGAAAGATAGGGAATACGTAGCCTAGGCCAGGGATGCCTCATCCAAACACTCACCCAGCTATCCACAAGGAGCGGAATGGACAGCACCTGGAGGGTTAGCAGTAGCAATAAAGAACTCTGAGTCATACTCTGCTTATGATAAGAGTAGAATGTTCCAAACGTTTAGCATGTTTGCTACTCGTATAAACGCCTGCTGTCACCAGGTGTGACGGTGCACACGTGTAACCCCAACACTTGGGGGGCCAAGGCAGGAGGATCACCATGAGTTTGAGACCAGTCTGAGCTACATCATGAGTTCAAGGCCAGCCTGAACTATATGAGACCCTGTCCCACACCAAAAACAAAACAGAACAATGCACTTGTTGGCTATAGGTAGCAAAAAGAGGAGAGGAATGTCAGCCAAAGGAACTCTAATGATTTAACATGAAATTGAAACATGAAAAAGGAAGTTTACTGATATAGCATAATCTTTTTGAAAAACTTTCTTTTATTTTTTATTTTTTTGGCAAAACCGGGGATTGAACT